AGATAGCATATCTATATGAGTTAAATGGTCACATGTACTTCTCCCTAGGTTAGCAGTGAGCCAGCTACCATGGAAAGTAAAGAGGCTCATCACTGGAGCATAAATCCAAAGCTCCATAAAATCTGCCCCAATATCTTGGGGCCTAAGACAGCCACAGAGACCTAGTTCATGTATGTACCTAAGGTATATCAAGTATAATCATCTCTATCAATTCACCTAATTACCCAAAATAAGAATGTAAGAACAAGAAAAGAGAATAGATATCTGGGGATGATGGTAGGGTAGAGACAAAGTGCCGAGCTCACTTCCTAAGAACCCATCCTCTAAAAAAACCCACTCTCAAGGGCACCACAATCCCTTTTGAAGGTGAAGTGCCCATGACTCTTAGGTCTTAAGGGCCCCACTACCTCCCAATACCATTACACAGGCAATTAAATTTCAGCATCAGTGTTACAGTTTGAATCTAAAATGACCCGCGCAGTCTCCTGTGTTTGGAAGATGTCTAGATCAAGGGGGCGCTATAATCACCCGTGGATTAGTCAGCGAATGAGTTCACAGCTGACTTGCTGTTAGGAGGGGGTAGAGGCAGGTCACTGGGGTTGTGACTCGTCCTCCCTTCTCTCTGCTTCCTGACTGGCACAGGTTGAGCAACTTTTCATCTGAGAGGCCCCTCTGCCATCTTGTTTCTGCCAGCCAACCACAGAGTCAAAATAAAGCTCACCACCTTTAACCTGTGAGTGTCAGGTATTTTGTTCCAATGATGGAAAAGCAACTAATATAATGAGTTCTGGCAGGAACATTCGACCTACCAGCAACCAGCAAAATGTTGGCAGTACCCGAATTAATGTATGACACTAATATGGCCCCAATAAAATTATCAATGAGCTTTTCTTTCTTTTTTTTGGTAACAAGAATCAAACTCAGGACTTTGCGCTTTCAAGGCAGGCAGCAGAACCACTGAGCTAAATCCCCAGCCCTGAGCTTATATCAGTGTGTGGGAAAGTGAATATGTAATAGCTAGGGAAACACTAAAAAGGTCAGGCTATGAAGAGGGGCAAATCCTATCAGACACTGAAACACAGCATAAAGCCATCATAATTTAAATAGTACTAGTGCACAGAACAGAACAAAATGGAAAATCCAGAAATTATAAATGGAATTTCAGTAGACAATAGTCAGTATCTCAACATTTTGGGTTGACAACAAACTTTAAATAAATGGTGTTGAGACAATGGCAGAACTATGTGAAAAAGGATCAAATGATAGCCATTCCTCTTCCAAAGTAAAGAAAGTATGAATGTAACAAATGAAATAACAGTGAAACCTCAAGTTATGGTGGGACCTGCCAACCGAACAACTTGGGTTAAGATTCATCTGCCTCTTGTTATCTATAGTGTGTACCCAAGTAAACATCCAGACCTCAGTTACATTGATTTAGTGACAACCAACCCTTGGAAACCAATCAAGTTCGTAAGTCAAGGGTTCACTGTAGTATATGGGTGAATTCTCCTGTAAGTGGTTTTATAACCTGTTGGCAGTAAAAGGCTAAGTATGACATTTTCTTTAAAAAAAAAAGGTGATAAACAATTGCACGAAATTTTTCAAATAAACAGAACACATAAAATTCCTTGAAGTCAAACTGGAGAAAATACAGTACTGTATCACTGATTAAAAACTAGTATTTCTGGGGCTGGGGATTTAGCTCAGTGGTTTCGCTGCCTGCTGCACAAGCGCAAGGACCTGAGTTCGATCCCTGATACCAAAAAAATACAAAAAACTAATATTCCTTATAAAGAATATACTTATGAAGAATTTTTTTAATTAAGAGAACCAAAACACTCTCATTGTAATGACTGTAAAATTCTTTAAACATGCTAAAAAACAATGAATTAAATACATGAAATGAGACAACTCTGAAGGTATAAACTGCTTCAATAATATTATTTTTAAAAAACCTATAGAAGAATAGGTGAAAGACTTAAAAGAAAATTCATCCCCCAAAAAGATACAAGGTTCTTGCTGGGCATGGTGGTGCACACCTATAATCCTAGCAATTGGAAGGTTGAGGCAGGAGGACTGTGAGTGCAAGGCCAATCTAGGCTATATGGCAAGCTCAAGACCACCTGAACTACAACAAGAGCCTGTCTCAAGAACAACTACAGAAAGGTTCTTAAAAATATAAAATAGTCAACTTCATAATAAGATAAAGGCAAATAAAACTACACTAAGGCTCCATTTCTCATCCATCAGGATGACAAAATTTCAAAAGCTTGATAACACATTCTGTTAATAAGGATATAGACAACAGGCTGCATCATAAATTGTTGGCAAGAATGCAAACAAACCCTATGTTGGCAAAATAGGTGATATCTTCAATACAATAATCCCGCTTCCAGAGATTTCACCTGGAGGTTCACCTGCACAAAACACAAATGTACATATGGCAAGGCTATGAAATGCTCCACTATTCATAATTCAAACTACTGGAAACTATCAAGTGTCCTATCATAGAAACTGATGCATATATTTCCAGAATATTTTAAGTAGAAAAAAATGAACAAATAAATATATACAGTGTACTACCCTTTGTGTAAGAAAAGAGAAATTACAAAACAAGCACACATGCAGGTACTCAACTTCCAAAGAGGAACACAGGAAGAACAGACCAGAAAACAGTAACACTGAGCACTGAGGGTGGGTGGGATGGGAAAGACAGGGGATGAAGGGATCCATTTAAGCAAACCCTTACATGGTTGCAACATTTTTTTTTTTTGACTCAGCATCTAGCTATTGAGTTTAGGATGGCCTCAAACTCTTGGTGACCCTCATGTTTTAGTCTCCCGAGTGCATGGTATCACCTTTTAAAATACATTAATATTTCACTTACTAAAAACTTGTATCAAAGAGAGAAAGAAATGTATTTCAAATAAATAAAAGTCACACTAAAAGAGAGGAAAAAAGAACTAATCCAAATAACCTCTGAGTACTGCACTGAGTGCACACCCACATAGGAACAGGAGAGAGATGACTGGAAACAAATCCTGAACGGTTCTTACTGGGTTGGTTTTTAGGGGTGAGTGGTGGAGGTAACAGTGTAAATGAAGCATTTCTGAATAATTTTAAATGCATCACAGGTTTAAACAAATGAGGAAATTGCTGATGTTAGGAGTCAAGATTCTAATTGTGGAATTGAAAGGAGATAAAATCTAGAGGAGAAGGCAAGGAAGATCCTTGGAGGAATGGGCTCGAAGTGAAGGCATCAGTATGAACACATGATTCTGTGTCTGTGTTTTATTTCCTAGCTCTATCACTGAAACGGCCCCCTTCTACAAGCAAAGACACCCTTGTAGCAATAATCATGCCTAACATCCAAAGCCAACTAAAGCAAAAGACAGCTCCTTTAAAAGATGGCTAATTTCAGAATTAAGACAGAAAAGTATAAAATAAACCTGAAATATTCTGTTGGGACAAAAATAAGGACAAGTTAAAATGGCATACGAAGTGTCCAAAAGATGCTTTCAGTGACCAAATCTGCAACAACTTCAGCACCAGAATAACTAGAAGGGAATAGCATAACTCATCGGGTTGAGGGGGCTAAGTACCAAAGAGATCATTATACACAGGTCAAGAGATGGGCAAAAAAGGAGGGCTCAAATCTCCCTCACAGCAGACGGCTAAGTGTCAAATTACGCATGTGGAAGGAGTGCTAGAACTGAATAACAATCAACCTGCAACTGTCGTAGTAAGGACTGATGTTAAGAACCAATAACCAATGCTACATCTAGTAGGAAAGTCTTGATACCCACAGTGATCCACCTCTTCCAACAAGATAACACCTCCTAACAGTAAATCAGCTATATTGTCCCCATAATCCAGTCACCTTCCAAAGGTCCCACCTCTGGGCCTGAGTGTTTACATGATTTAAAAGATTGCTCCCACAGACCACTTAACCAAGAGGAAAAGTAACTGTGCACTGTGGAGAAAGTGAACAATGTTTTGGCTAAAGTAATCAACATCACCATAAAGCACAGACAGACAGACCTGACTGTGAATGTGATAGCCTGAGAAGGACACATCACATCTGGAATGCGTATCCTAAACCTAACTATGAGGAAACATTAGACAAACCAAAACAAAGAACATTTGACAGGGCCAGGGATTTAGCTCAGTGGTTCCACTGCCTGCCTCACAAGTGCAAGGTCCCAAGTTCGATCCCTGACACCAAAAAAAGAAAGAACATTTGACAAAGGGGACGGAGTCTCTACTCTCCAAACCTGTCATTGTGAAAGACAAAGACTAAGAAACTATTCTTTGAACAGAGGAGAAAATGGATGAAACTAAAGGATGAAAGACTAAAGTATCATTAAATTTTCTGAGCTTAGTATTCATGCTGTCCTTAGAATGTTCTTAGGCTTAGCAAAACATCGAAGCTTTTAGGGGTAAAAAAGGATACTATATGTAACTCATTGGCAAATGGTTGAGAAAATACAATTTACAGACAAAACCAAAGACAAAGCAAACAGAGCAAAATCTTTAATAACTGATGAACCCAAATAACAAATGTATATAAAGTCCTTGCACTATTTTTGCATACTTGCTCATCACTGAGACACAATACCCAGCATCCATCGTTTAAAGGAGGTTTATTCTGGCTCACAGTTTATGGAGGTTTCAGTGTATAATTAGCTGGCTCCAAGACAGGGTGGCATGGCAGAGGTCATGGAAGAGGAGAAGCAACAGCTGGCATGGCAACCAGGTGCAGAGAGCAACGGGGGAGCCAGGAAGGAAGTTACAAATGTGGTGACCTCACTTTCTGACCAGACCCAACTCCTAACAGTAAGTCAGCTATAAGCCCCATAATCCAGTCACCTCCCAAAGGTCCCACCTCTGAGCACAGGAGACTTTGGGGGGCATCCAGAACTACACCATAACATTCTCCATAAGTCTGCACATTTTATCAAATGAAAAGTTTTGTTGTTTTTTTTAAAGGCAAACCTTACATTTCTCAGTGCTTCATAAACAGCTCTGAACGCTGGCTGCTTATCATCATGGTAGACACCTCTGTTCCCATGAAGAATAAAGATCCCTTCTTCTTCCGCTTCCCGGCAGTTGCTTCCATATATGCAATGATCAGGTCGATAATTCCACTGACATGGAAAAACGAAAAGGCTTTCTACATGAAGAAAAATCAAACAATGAAACAAACATCCCTAACTCTACAGGATTAACACTCTGCAAAATTTTTAGTTTAAAAATACATCTCTTAGCAAATAATTAAAAGAGTGAAAGATATGTTTGGGATTTACAGGAGATATCTTCCATCTAAATTAATATTCAAGAAAAATTTTACTGTATCAAATATAATTAGTAGCAACCATTAAAATAAGCCAAAATCAAACAAGTGCATTTCTCCCCTCCTATTACCTACAATTTCTTTTTACAAATGTAAAGAATAAAAGGAATTTAAATGATTACCTGGATTATGAAAAAACATGATATTTAACAGATCTTGATCACCCCATGTAATGTTCAGTTTGTATTTTTTAAGCAATGGCATAAGTATATCTCCCCACTGTAGCCGTACTGTTGTCATGTCGTTCTGTTGATAAAAATATTAAAACAATTTTCAAAATTTCAGGTTTAAAGGGCAGCAAGACAGCTCCCCAGTCTTCCTTTAGCAACCATCACAGAGCCACAGAAGAAATGCAAACTCTAAGTGACAGCCAGGCATGGTGGTGCACACCTGTGATCCCAGCACTCAGAAGGCTGAGGCAGAGGACTACCATGAGTTCGAGGCCTGTCTGGGATCTATAGTGAGTTCAAGGCCAGCCCAAACTACATAGCCAGATCTTGTCTCAAAACACAAAAAAGGTACCAAAAAACCAAGTGACATTTACAATCCTGTGAAGAGGGCTGCCCAGTAGAAGAGGGGAAGACAGCAAAGGTATCTGAAGCTACATGTATCAGCGATAAAAGAGAAAGTAGCAATAGTTTAATTACTAATTACTATATCTTAATTTTCAGATGAAGACTAGGGAAAGGTGAAAGTTTTCAACTTAACAAGGAAAGAAAAACCTGTAGACTGAGGTTTCTAAGATCTACAGTACAATAAGATTATTCTGAGAGTCTATATATATAACTTTTATCACAGTAGATTGCTATAATTTTTCTATTTTCTTATTACTGTGTTAATTCTTACTGTGTTAGTTACAGATGACACTTTTTCACCAGCTCTGTATGCACAGAGCTCAGTACACCAAATGACTTTACTGTCTTGGAACATACTCCCTCTGAAAAATGGGAGCTACCATACTGCAAATAGACACAAACTAATGAATTTCTGTTTAGTTTTTCATTGCCTATCTCTTTCTGCAATTCAATTTTTGCCAAGTATATTGGTTTTTAGTGTTTAATTTTAGTGGTGTGCATTTTTAAACTTGATTTATCAATTTTAAATGTTCTCTTTGAACATCTAAATATAAAAGATCAGGGGCCAGGAATTTAGCTCAGTGGTTTCGCCGCCTGCTGCGCAAGCGCAAGGACCCAAGTTCAATCGCAGGTACCAAAAAAAAAAAGATCAGTGTGGGAATAATAGTGGTCATAGTAAAAGTAATAACAGCTAATAATGAGTATGTATCATGTGGCAGGTATTGTTCTACCCACTTTTATTACACATTTATTAACAGGCTTAATACTCGGACACACAGACACTAAAATTACCCACATTTTAAAGATACCATCCTGATCTTTAAAAATATATATATACATATTTAGACATACACATATATTTAATCATTATAAATAAACTATGTTTGCTTAATTGTATGTATTGAAAGAAATATATCTATTAAAAGAAAATCTAGGACCAGGGATTTAGCTCAGTGGTTTCGCCGCCTGCTGTACAAGTGCAAGGACCCGAGTTCGATCCCAGGTACAAAAAAAAAAAAAAGAAAATCTACCAAAGATAAAATTATAGGGTGTAGTCTTTTCAGAAATGATCAAATGGAGAAAAAATCTTTATAATATAACAGAAAAAGATCTAGCAGAAAAATATTGAATAAGAAGTAATAACAGTAGTATTATGATGGTATAGAGTATCTATTATAGTTAATAAAAAACTACAAGGAATAAAGAGGCATATATATAAATCATGTATCAAATCCCCACAATAAATGTAATCACATGTACTGCAAACACAAACTAAAAAACCTATAAATTTTTTTTAAAAGTTCAAGTATATACAGAAAGACAACCAACAAATGAGCAAAAAATATGGACAGCCATTCACAAACGAGGAAAAGGAAATGGTGATAGATTACATGAAGATATTTGTTTTCAATTGAGCAGGGTCTTGCTATGGAGTTCAGGCTGGCCTTGAACTCAGTACTTAGTCCAGTCTAGCCTTGAATTCACAGCAATCCTCCTACCTCAGCCTCCTGAGTGCTGGGATTACAGGCATGCGCCACCATGCCTGACAACATGAAAAGATCTTTAACCACAGTGGTGGTATAATAAGGAAAATACAAATTAAAATCTTTTTTTAGCCATAGATATATATATATATATATATATATATATATATATATATATATATATATTCATATGAGGTAGTACACACCTGTATCTAATCACCTATTCTCTAAAATATCATATACAAAGTAAATATGTGATTAGAAATCAATTGCATACTTACTAAACTTAAAAGACAAGCTAAAGATGTATGAAAGTATCTTATATCAGTGTTAATATACATGTTTACTTGTTTCAAAATACGTTTTTTTCTGGTACTGGAGATCAAACTCAAGACCTTGCACGCACTTGCCAAGGCAGGCATGGAGCCACTGAGCTAAATCCCTAGACCTCAAAATACATTTTTAAGAGGTCCAAAGAGTACACAGCAAAGTTTAGTGTCACTTTGCCTGAAGCATAAAACTGAGGAGAGATATGTAAAGGAAACCTGTTTTTACTTTACATAATAATGAATTATTTGAGTTGGGTTTTTTTGTTGGTTTTTTTTTTTTT